AATGACAAAAATTCTGCTTTTTGCCAAATTGGTCGAAAACTGACGACATTCAAGCCCAGGTTGCGGCATGTTACCGGAATGGAATCCGGCTCTAATGATATAGGTATGATGGGCCCTGTCGAGATCTATCATTTGGTACCAATATCTCATTCTAGGGACAAGTTATCAGCCGGCCCGCTTGCAACTATGCCGTATTTCTTCTTATAGAAGCCCACTCAAACCGTCAGTTTTGAGCTCAATTATCTCGGTTTCTATGAAAGATATCAAAATTTTGTCAACTGATAAAATATTGCTGATATCATGATAAAAGGATTTTTATATATTCTAAAAGAACCGAGATAATTGAGCTCAAAGTTGACGGATATTAGATGAACTACAGTATTTCAAACACTACGATAGTTTGCGCCCAACCTGAAATTATCGATTTTTGCAGAAAGTCTAATGTCCCCCCGACTCGGAAACCGTAGATTCGCCGCGTCGACAGCAAGATGCGCGCCAGCGGCCTCCGAGCTGCAGAGCACAGAAGTCTGGCTTCCACGACCGTCACTAGTGAATCAGAATCCGGCACATTCGAATTCGTTGCCACGTTTGGATAAGCATCGAGTCCATGAGTGAGTTGAGAATTGAAAATTAGCGAAAATTAGGATTTTTAGAGCTAAAATTACCGAAAAATTCGCAATTTTGAGCTAAATTCCCTTCAAAACTGATGTTTTTTTCGAATTTTCGAAATCTTAACGCTTCAAGTTGAAGCGTTTGGCTGAAAATGAAAACAAACTGAAACTCAATTCAATTCCAACCAGAAAAAAAGCAATTTTCCGTTCAATTTTGTCTTTTTTGCTGAAAAAGTCTGGCATTTCCGTTTTTTCGAACTGATTAGTATTTTTTTTGGCAATATTCAAATTTTGCCACCCGAATATTTTTTCCAATTTGTGCATTTTTTTTCGCAGACGCAGTGAATCGAGTAACGGTCGAAAGAAGTCGGAAATCAATAACAAGCCACAACGACAAATGACAGATCAGGAGAGAAAACGACAGTACCGGATAGCACTCAACTTTTTCAATAAGTGAGTTTTTGTGGCAGTAGAGCGAATTTGCGAAAATTGAAAAAAACATTTTTTTTTGGTTTTCCGAAGTTTCAAATTCAAAAAATTATCAAAAATTCAGCAAATATACTCCGTTGACAACCCAAAATTTTTGAATTTTAAAATTTTTGCAACCCTGCTCTATAGACAATCTTTTGAGCGGTTTTTCAAAAATTTCCAAATTCAAAAAATTCAGCAAATTTGCTCTATAAACAACCCTAGAAAACTAACTTCCAGAAAACCCGAGCGAGGTGTTCAACTGCTAACCGCGTGGGGATTCGTCAAAAGTTCCCCCGATTCGCTGGCCAGTTTACTGTTCGGACGGCGTGGACTGAGTAAATCAATGATTGGAGAGTATATCGGCACACTACATTCACCGTATCATAGTTTAGTTTTGAAGTGAGTACGCAAGCATCATATCTGACGCGCAAATTTTGATTTTCTGGCAGAAATTTATGTTTTATCAGTAAGCACTTCTCCATCATATCTTACGCACGAATTTCAAATTCGCGCTGAAGTCGTGGATTCGTCCGCAAACAATTTCAATTTTTGCATATTTTCTGGGCGAATACACTTCGGTATCATGTCTGACGCGCAGTTTCAATCTTTCGTAGAAATTAAAGCTTTGTCCGCAAACAAAAATATCCTGGCATCATAGCTGACGCGCAAATTTCCATTTTTTCAAAGACTGATTTTCCAGATATTTCACCGGAATGATTGATATTCGAGGTCTCGAAGTGGACGTAGCCCTTCGAAAAGCCATGCAATTCTTCATTCTACCCAAAGAAGCCGAGAAAATCGATAGGATAATTCAAGCGTTTGCTTTGCACTACTCCAAATCCAACCCAAAAAGAACGTCGAATTTCCGTGGTGGATGGGATACGATACATCTGCTATCGTTTGCAATTATCATGCTCAACACAGATTTACACTCGCCAAATGTGAGCAGCGAATGACGCAGGCGGATTTTGTGAAGAATTTGAGGGGGCAGGATAAGGTGAACGGGGAGAAAAGTGGAGAGGATATTGATAGGAAAACACTGGAAGGGATCTATGATCGGATAAAGAAGGATGAATTGAAAGCGGGAGATGACCACGTGGCACAGGTTCAACGGGTGGATCGGGCAATAGTTGGGAAGGATAAACCGGTAAGAAGCAGGGATTTTTTTAATTCCGGAATATTCCAATTTTCGAATTTCCGGAGTTTTGAAAGTAGAATTTTCGGAGAATTACGATTTTGAAAATTGCCGAATTTCGGAATATTGCGATGTTTAAGTTTTTGGAATTCACTAGTTTTCCAATTTTTGAATTTCAGAATTTTCCGATTTTCAAATTTTCGAAAATTCAAAATCTTTAGAATTTTAGAAATATGGAATATCTCGATTTTAGAATTTCGGAATTTCAGAATTACCGAATTTCGACATTTTCCCATTATCAAATTAACAAAAAATTTTCGGATTTTTCAGTTTTTTGAAATTCGGATCTTCTAAATCTTCTGAATTTTCCGATATTCAAAATGCCGGATTTTTCAAATTTTCCTAGTTTTGGAAATTTCGGATTATTGGAAACTTCGGAATTTTAAAATTTTTCCGGTTTTGAAAATTTCAGAATTCTGAATTTTTCCAATTTTTGAAAATTTCGGATTTTCGGAGTTTTGGAATATTCCGATTTTTGAAATTTTCGGATTTTCGGAATTTTGAAAATTTTCCGTTTTTTGAAAATTTCGGATTTTCAGAATTTTCGGAATTTTCCGGACAAGAAATAGGGAAAATCGAAAAAGAATTATCAAAAATAGCTGAAAAACCTAAAAAGGTCTAAGAATTTTGCAAAAAATCGGAGGAAAAATCAAAAAGAGTTCTTTGGAATTCTGATTATTTAAAAACATGAAAAATCCGTAATCGGAAAATTCTGAAATTCCAAAAATCTAAAAATTCCGAGATTCCAATATTTCAAAAATCGGACAATTCCGAGATTTTGGCGAGCGAAGGGTCCACCATTTAATTTTCAGCGTCTCACCGAAACGCCCCGCCGCCTCGTCTGCTATTGTCGTCTCCAGCAAGTAGCCGACCCAACAAAACGTCAGTCATCAACAGCCAGAGAACGAGACGTCTTTCTTTTCAATGATATGATCGTTGTGGCGAAAGGAGTGAGAAGAGGGTCTACTTCGATGGTCGGATGCACATATACACTCAAACAATGGACAGTTCTACTCGGAGCCCATGTCACGGAATTCCAACGAGGGCAGTATGAATTCGGACTCACTATCACATGTCCCAACAAGGATAAGATACACTTTAACGCTCGGAATTTCGAGGATCGATGTCATTTTGTGGCCGATGTCACTGAATCGATTCGAGAGGCGACGGAAATGGAACAAGTGAGGTTGGAGATGGAAATGGAGCATCATACGACGATTCGATCCGATAATCAGAGAGATTCCGGTCTTCCTGATATGGATGAATCCATGAAGTTATCGGTGAGTTCTTTTTTTTTTGTTAAAAATCGGCTATCTTCTGCATTTGCGCGTCAGGGTGTTTGCGTACGAAACATTTTATTTTACGACGCTTTTTAGAAATGTTTTGAATCACAAAATTCTGCATACGAAATGGCTTTTTTTGAATTTTTCTTTTTAATCCCAATGGTTTTTTTTTCAGAACGGCAGCAACAGCAGTGCTGGCTCATCGAGCTCCTCCACCAACAACGGATCCTCATTCCGACGCCTCTCGTTCAATTCCCTGGATAGTGGAGTCGTTGAAGAGCACCTTGAAGCCTGTTGAGCTTTTTCTAATGATTTCTATTTATCTTTTTTTCCCGGCTTATTCTTTCCCCAGTCACTCCCAGAACCTAGTCATAAACTTTCAGAAAATCGATATCAAGCATAATTTTCCTTATCCCCCGATTCGTGTGAATATATTATTATGTGTCTTTTTTTGTATATTTCTATTGTATGTGTCTCGTTGGGCATGGCTAAGCCAAACGCGCTCCCCTGCACCCCCATGTTAAATAGGCCGAAATTCTTCTTGTAATCCCCCCTTTTCGTCACTTTTTGTCCCCCCCCCCCCAAACGAGGTACTATTCTTAGACTGCACACTTTTGAAGTATTGCTCATGATTCACTTTGTGTTGACGCTTTCATTTCGGTCGCCGCCTGCCGAATTCGTGCATTTTACATTTTAGAGTCAAAAAATATGTCGTAAAATAATGTGCTTTGACCGCAAACACCAAAGTTGACGCGCAAATGCACAAAACGGAAAGCCCGACCGAATGAAAGCCTTACTTTCTTTCTTCTTAAAGTATTTAAATATGATGAAATTCTGAAATTTTCACTTTTGAAGAAGAGACTGGTCCCTTCGCCCCCTTTTTTCATCCTTATGACTCTTGTTAACTTGCCCCCATTGAGTACTTGTTTCATGAACAAAGTTTAGTTTTATTGAATTTTTTGTGTGTTACAAAACCGAAAAAAACGGTGGTCATCTGGCAATTGTTACGTTTTGAAGTGTAAAAATTTTGCAACAGAAATTCGAAAAAAAAATCGCTTCCAGATGTCCTCAGACGACACTGCAGCGAAAAAGAAACAAATGATGCAGAATTTTCTGAACAGGAAACGAAAAATAGACCTAAAAGTTGGCGAGGAGATTCAGCAGAAGCCGTCGACGTCTTCTGAAACGATAGAAAAGGACGAAAAAGAGAAGAAGGAAGAAGAAAAGTTTGATAAGGTTTGTACGAAATTGAAAAAAGCGCCAAAAGCTACAAGTCCGAGAGGAGTACACGAGATGTTCAATGGAGCGCGCTTGCACTATCAACTTCGTGGATTCCTCTCGAACAAAAGCATTTTTTGTCGAAATTATAAAGTTTTTTCGGTTAAGACTTGCACAAGTATTGAACACTTCGAAAGATTAGAAAAAAGTCAATCGAAAAGTTCGTAAAATCTTCCAGGCTAAAAAAGCGCTGCTTTTCGATGCGAAACGAGCCAAAGACCGGGCGGAGGAGATGGGTCCACAGGGTTATCTGAAACCGAAGATTCCCTCGACGAACAAGGAATTTTTGAGAAGAACCATTCAGTCGACAATGCCACGTGGCAAGAAAAAAAAGTAGTTGATGACAAATAAAGATTTATTTTTGCAAAAAGTTACACTTATTTTACATTAGAGCCAAAAAAAAGCACGATTATAGACAATTTTTACAAAATTCTAGAAGTTCTCGCTGTAGCTGACTTGTTCAGCGGCTGGATGCTCAACGGTATATTTCACAGTGAAGTTTTGAGCCTCTCCTGGCGCCAATTGAACGGTGTAGTCAAGAATCTTCTCTGGAGTGAGCTCGGCTCCAACGGTTGGTTCAGCGGATGACTCGGAAACTTCTTTGGCTTCTGGAGACTCGAGAGTGACCTGAAAAATGGGAATTTAGAGCTTTTAAAATTTAATAAATTACCTTGATTCTGGAATCCGTAGATCTTGGAAGCTGTTCGCGGATAGTGAGAAGCACTGGGTTTGGACGGAGATTGGTGACGGCGGTTGTCTTTTCAGTGACCTGTGAGTTGAGCTTCTCGACGGTTCCAGTTCTCTCTTGATAGTTCTTCACTGGTTTGTACTCTACACGAATGTTTGGATCAACTCCAAGAGAAACTTCGAATTTCTGCGAGACGACGGCGTCTTCAAATTCTCCTTTGTTGACGAATGCACCATCCAAAAAGATGGAAGTTTGGCCAGCGACAAGTGGATAATCAGAAGAGTTGACAGAGTTGGCAACAAGGAAAGCGGCGGCATTTCTCGATGGAACAGTCACATTTGATAGTTTAGTTGGAAGAGTGAATTGACCGATATTCACTTTGTATTCTTCAGTACGATCATCAATTGTTGCTGGACGACCGATGCTGAATTCAGATGCAATATTGCTAGTCTTCACTGTTGCTGATGCATTCTTGAACATGGCTCTTCCCATCATCGGAGCAGCGTCATATGCCATTTCTGCGTACACCATTCCATGTTGTTCTCTATGCGTTGGCTCTGGAACAACGATCGAAGCTTCCAATGCACCGAGTTTTGGCAGCTGCTTGACTCCATGTGCTGGCTTAGCAGTCGACAGAATAAGTGGGACATTCTTCCAATCCTCCCCACTGAATTGGCGAACTTTTCCGAAATATGTGATGTGCATCTCAGCGTCGTCTCCAGAAGTAACACGAATATCGTAGAATGGGAACCAGGCGACATTGTTCACTTGATATGTCACAGTGAGTTCCACGGATCCTCCATCAGTAGATTCGACGACGATGCTAGCGTATTGGGCAGAGTTTCTCCATCTGTATCCAGTGTTATCCCAGTCTTGGCTAGCTCTATGGAATTCTTCCTCGGCTCTTCTGAATTCCTGATCCAGAGTTCTAATTTGCGCACGAAGATCAACAGTCTTATCCTGATGATAAGCATGAAGAGCATTCAAACTCTCAATAGTTCTCCCATCGAAATGAAGACTTCCGTCTTTTCCATTTTTCACTGATTCCGTAATCAAATTATCCAATCCTTCGATTCTCTTCTGTACTGCTGTTCTGCTATCATTGATCTTGTCCTTTGCTCTCTCCTTTTCTTCAAAAGTCGCCTTGATCGCCAAAACTCTCTCCGGAATAACAAAATCGGATCCCTCTTGATTCTTAACGGAGACATCATGGATCACAGCTTCTCCAGATCCGGAGACACGAATCGAATCTTGAACCAAATCGAATGGGAGGTTCTGTAAAAATAAAAAAAATCGTTCTCGTTGAATTCAAAATTGACAAGAATTCATTTTGGGAAGGGAAAACCGGTTCGTGAATTAAATTCGAAGTCAAAAATGGTGAAAAAATAAATACAAATTGTGCCGTTAGAATTTTTTTCTAAAATTTTGAAGTGTTTGCAGAGAGTGTTTGTATAATGCTCGGAAATCTTGGTCAAAAATCACAGTGTTCTTTTTTCGAAGCGTTTTGAAAATGCGCTCAAATGCGAATTACCGTACTTCTACAATCAATTAGCGTTGGTCTCGCGGCGAAAGCCTTAAATTGAGCAGCTGAGTCGCTACTCGGCGGTGTCTACCGGAAAATCGGGTGAAAAAATAGTTTCTAAAGGTTCTGGAAAAAAACACCGTGACAAAAATCAGTATACTAGAAAATTTCGTGTATTGACACAGCTGATACCCTAGAAGCGATGACTCACTCACCTGAACTCGAACTTCATTGTATCCATGAGCCAATTCCAACTGGAATGTTCTCTTCAATTCGGCACAGTTGGATTCCGAGCTGTAGACAAGCGCCTGGACGATTTCGACGTCGTGAAGATTGAGTTTGTGGGTTTCGACGATTGTTGCCATGATTTCTGAAAGAAATTCTAATGTTCTCGAAAAAAAAGAAGGAAAATAAAGAGCTTTAGGGAAATTCTATACGAAATTGAAGGAGAAAAACGACGGGGATCCATGGGAAACGCCAATTTCCATGGAAACTAAAAACGCTCTAAACTCACTGCGCCGAAATACACAGACAAACTTTTCTGGCCTTTTGGCGTCGCTTTTATGTTGGGGAAACGACGAGAGAGAAGAGAATTAGGGATAACGAAAAAGAGAAAAATGGGTGGGGACAGAAAGAGGAACAGAAGTTTCGAAACTACTGAAGGGAAGACGGAAGAAAAAAGATCATTCTTTGACCAAGTATTTCGAGAAGAATACATTCTCAAACGAATAGAAGAAAAATGAGTCAAGGCAAGGGAAGAGAAATGAAAGTCAGAAGAGGAGCACAAATCACAGTGAATAGAGGGAAAAAGAAGACGTTGTTTGATGTTTGGAGCTTGCCAATACGGGTAAACAAGAATATATAAATACTGAAAGTATTAGAAATCATTCTAAAAAATTCTCTTCGGCTATTTTTTGTTGGTAAACAATTAAAAAGTCTCGATTTTCGAAAATATGGAGACAAAAACAACTATGAAGTACTGCGTTGGTATATAAGCAACCTCTGTTCAGATCGACAGCGATTTGTCGGAAAATTTTTAAAGTATCTAAAAATTCAAGGATCTTCTGAAGTTTATTTTGCAACTTCCGACCAGAATATTACCGATGTTTCGGAATTCCACTGCTTATTGTACTACGGTACGACAAAGGCGCACGCGAAGTTTCTTTACGGGTATTGAGCGGGAATTACTGTAAATATGTTTTCGAAATCTGCTCGTCAATTTTTCACGAAAGTTTCGCGCTTTTGTGACTTAAAATTCCGAAATTTTGAATATTCTGAAATTCTGATGAACTTCGAAAAACCCATTCCGAACATCCCTGCTAGAAATTTCGAGAAAATCTGTCAGTTTAATTCGTGTTAGAATTAATCAGATAGCAGTTAAAGGAGGCGAGACAGCAACAATTTCGGGGGCAGTTCGGGGGACGAAATCGCGCCGCGCTTATGTAGACCATCGGTCGTCAGGCGCCTTCGCGCCCCCGTAGCTCAGCCGGTAGCGGCGCTGTACCCCTGAGCTGCCTGTCATGAGTTCAACCCCTCATGGGGGTTCTCTATGCAAAATATCAGGAAAACATTTTTTTTGGTATCTGGCCTCCTTTAAGGTTTATCAGAACTATTGATGACCACATTAACAAACCCACTTCCCTGTTCGATAGATTTTTCATACTTTCCATTAGTACATTGATTTATTTCCGCATCTTATCACAGACCACGATCAGGATAATACTTCTTGACACCAACAAGACTAATTCTACTAGAAACAAAACGAAAAAAAAAATCAGAATATTTATTATTACATTCTATTTTACACATTCAGATAAATATTATAAAGCAAATATACAAAGTGCCAGAAAAATTTGAATATATTTTAGAACTTCTCCTCATAGCTGACTTGTTCCTCGGCTGGATGCTCTGTGACATACTTGACGACGACGGTTCTAGCCTCTCCTGGAGCTAGTTGGACGGTGTAATCAAGAATCTTTTCTGGTGTGATCTCGGCGCCAGCTGTTGGTTCTACACTTGGCTCGGCGACTTCTTTGGCTTCTGGAGATTGGAGCGTGACCTGAAAAAAGAAAGTTAGGAATCAGAGCTTTTAAAATTTAATAAATTACCTTGATTCTGGAATCCGTAGATCTTGGAAGCTGTTCGCGGATAGTGAGAAGCACTGGGTTTGGACGGAGATTGGTGACGGCGGTTGTCTTTTCAGTGACCTGTGAGTTGAGCTTCTCGACGGTTCCAGTTCTCTCTTGATAGTTCTTCACTGGTTTGTACTCTACACGAATGTTTGGATCAACTCCAAGAGAAACTTCGAATTTCTGCGAGACGACGGCGTCTTCAAATTCTCCTTTGTTGACGATGCACCATCCAAAAAGATGGAAGTTTGGCCAGCGACAAGTGGATAATCAGAAGAGTTGACAGAGTTGGCAACAAGGAAAGCGGCGGCATTTCTCGATGGAACAGTCACATTCGACAGTTTAGTTGGAAGAGTGAATTGACCGATATTCACTTTGTATTCTTCAGTACGATCATCAATTGTTGCTGGACGACCGATGCTGAATTCTGAGGCAATGTTGCTCGACTTGACGAAAGCAGAGGTCATTCCCATTTTCTGGCAACGTAAAGCCATTGGAGCAGCACAAGCCATTTCATATCCTCCTCGTCCACCACCGTATCCTCTTCTCATCGTGTTACATTCTGGCTCTGGCACAACAATCGAAGCTTCCAATGCACCGAGTTTTGGCAGTTGCTTGACTCCATGTGCTGGCTTAGCAGTCGACAGAATAAGTGGGACATTCTTCCAATCCTCTCCACTGAATTGTCGAACTTTTCCGAAATATGTGATGTGCATCTCAGCGTCGTCTCCAGAAGTAACACGAATATCGTAGAATGGGAACCAGGCGACATTGTTCACTTGATATGTCACAGTGAGTTCCACTGATCCTCCATTAGTAGATTCGACAACAATACTAGCGTATTGGGCGGAGTTTCTGTTAGCGTATCCAGTATGTTGCCAATCTGTCAAGGCACGAATCAATTCCTCTTGAGCCTTTCTTTCTTGTTCTTCCAAATTTCTAATTTGCGCACGAAGATCAACAGTCTTATCCTGATGATAAGCATGAAGAGCATTCAAACTCTCAATAGTTCTTCCATCGAAATGAAGACTTCCGTCTTTTCCATTTTTCACTGATTCCGTAATCAAATTATCCAATCCTTCGATTCTCTTCTGTACTGCTGTCTTGCTATCGCTAATCTTGTTCTTTATTCTTTCCTTCTCCTCGTAAATCGCTCTGATCGCCAGAACTCTATCCGGGATAACAAAATCGGCTCCCTCTTGATTCTTAACGGAGACATCATGGATCACAGCTTCTCCAGATCCAGAGACACGAATCGAATTATGAACCAAGTCAAATGGGAGGTTCTGGAAAGTAATATGTTTCAATTTTCTTTTAAGAATTTATGTGAATCCATCAGAAAGTGCCATAGATGACTTTGAATATTTGAACTTTGTGAAAATGATTCGTTTTTGTTTGTTTAGAATCTAATAAAACTTTTCGTATTGGTTGATATAAATATCAGAAAATGTCATATTTGCAAACACCTATTCATCATGGCAAAAGGAAGGTCAAGAACCGAGAAAACTAAGTATGAGTCATGTTAAAGAAAGACATACTTTTTTATTGCTTCAAATTATGCAGAAAAATTTAATTTACTTTTTCAAAAGGGAAATTTATAGAAAAAGAGAATCCTCAAAGTCCCTTTCAGGCTTCGCAATTTTCAAAATGTTTTTCTTAACACAAATTTGTATAATCTACATTATGGCAGTCGTACGGCGGCCCGAGGCCGGCCGTAGGACAACCAACACTATTTTCGAAAAGTCTAGACTTTTCAAGTATTTCGAAATCTTTAGCTAACCTGAACTTTAACTTCATTGTATCCCTGAGCCAATTCTAACTGGAATGTTCTCTTCAATTCGGCACAGTTGGATTCCGAACTGTAGACAAGAGCCTGGACGATTTCGACGTCGTGAAGATTGAGTTTGTGGGTCTGGACGATTGTTGCCATGATTTCTGGAAAATATACTATTTCGAACCTTTCGAAGTTTCGATTACAAATAGACCAAAAACGAGGAAATTAAAGAGAAAAAAGGTTTAGAGAAAAGTAGAATGAAAACAAGAAAAAAAAGGTGAATAAAACTTCAAATCTGAGCGGAAGGAAAAAAACCAAATTTCGAATCACTATGGAAACTCTGCGTCCAAACACTCATAGACTAACGAAACACTGGCCTTTTGGTCTTGCTTTTATACGAGTTGAAGGGCAAAAAATGACAGCAGGGTGAGAGAGTGAGAGACGGAGAGAGTTAGAGAGAGACAAAAAAACGAAAAAGAAGAGAGAAAAAGGGTGGAGACAACAAAGAAAAAGAGTTTCGAAACTAAACAGAAGAATGTGAAAGGGATCAGTTTCTGACCTATTTTTGAGAATTTGAGGGATCGGCAAATTGAGGAAGAAGATTTTGCTTTGGATGTTAGTAAGCCTGTAACACTTAGTAAGCCTGTACTTTGATCGAAAAGCAACAAATTTTGAAAAGAAAACAGCAAAAATGGGAAAATTCGCTGATCTTCGCAGTACCTGATTTTTTTTTTGAAAATGCTGTCAAAATTAGAGGTTATCCAAGCGTAACAGACTAAGCTTATAATTTTATGCTGTTTGAAATTATAGATTTAGGCTATAACACCTTGTTTAACTTTCACTCGGACATCTGAAACATTGGCACCGAATTCAATTAGTTTGCTGCTGAAATCCTAAAGCAATAAAAATCCGAAACACAATTTTCAGGTTACTGTAGCTTTGGGCGTTTTTAGAACTTCAAAGAAAACACCGATATCTTCTCTGTCCGTTCAACAACTAAAGATTGTGTCGGTTCGCCGATTTATTTCATTTTTATTTTTATTCGAGACATTAAATAAATCAACCGAAACTTCCTTGTTGTGCCTGTGAAGTATTTCGCAATGAAGAGGAAAACCCAAATGATTCATGTAAAAACGAAAAAAAAGAGAGAAAGAGAGAGGGGGAAAATGGGAAAATGTCCTAGAGAATGACTCACTAGTCAGAGAGGAGAGGGACAAACAAACAAAACAATAAAAAGTCTCACAGAAAGATGACTAAAAGTGTTTCAATGCATGAAGTGCGCTCAAACGTCCTGGTGCTCCGGTGACACCGCCACCTGGATGAGCACCACTGCCACATAAATACAAGGATTTGATTGGCGTTGAGTAATTGGCCCATTTGCTAACCGGGCGCGATGTATACAACTGGTCAAGACTCATAGATCCGTGGAAGATGTTCTAAAAATTTCATTTTAGGTTTTCTGGAATTTTCTGAACAATTCTGACTCCTCCTGTAATTCCGAAAGTGTTCTGAATATCTGGTGGTGTTAGAATATCGTATCCAATGACACTTGAGGAGAAGTTCGGTGCATAGGCGTCGATTTCTGAGAAGACGTGCTTCGCGTACTCTGTCTTCTTCTCTTCTGTCCATTCGTGATCTTTGGGGGAGAACGGAGTGTATTGGGTGAAAAGGAGGACAACGTGCCCGTCTTCGGAATCAACGATTGTCCGGTCGATGGAAGAGGGTATTGTCATTTCGATGACTGGTCTGGAAGTAGAAATTTTAGAAGTTTAGGGACTGGAATTATCTCATAGGGATTGAAAATGAATTTGGGAAAAGTATAGCGAACTTTTGATGTCTAAAAATTATCGTAGGATCTGTTAGATGAGACTGAAACAGTCGCAAAAAAATTAGTCCAGAATTTTTTGAGTTTTCTAAAAATTTCAGAGTATACTAAACAAAGATAGAGCTTCAATTTTGTGCCAATTTTTTGTAAAAATTCATCCAAATACCGTTTTTTCAGAAATAGCACTGACATGGAATGACTCCCAAGTGTTACCCTTGAAAAAAATTGAGACCTAGATGGTTGGAAAGAGCGTAAAAAGTTATTTTAGAATCCAAAAGGAATAGTTGATAAAAATTTTTTTTGGGGAGTTATGGCCCAAAACGTACCAAAAAATGGCTATATTTTCAAAAAATCATAACTTTGTCAGTTTATGTCGTTTGTTGAAATTTAAAAAACAATAGATAGACAATCAATTGAACTTTTGGAAAAAATTTTTTGATGTTTTACTCATTAATTGGATTATTGATTTTTTGAAAAAACCGAAAAAATTTTCAATATCTCAAAAATCCCAAGTTAACTTTTTTTCTTATTATGACCATTGAACTAAGCACGTTTGATTTACTATGGAAACATATCAATACCCCGGGGGATTTTCGATTGTTATAGCCTAAAAATAGGTGTTTGGCTGTAATAATCGTAAATATTTTCTTTTTTTAGGACCTAACTCGAAATTCCGTTCAAGCCATTGATAGAATTAGGTTCTTCTAATTATGTTAAAAAAAGAGTTTGGCTGTTTTCATCAAGTTGGACCATAGATATGCCCCTTACATGTCAAAATTTTGATTTTTTCAAAGTTGCAATTTTAAGACATATTACGGCATTCGAATAATTGACTTTCTATGTTGCAGAATACCTTTTTAAACACTTTAAACTTACTATATGCATGTAAAAATCACAATAAGAAGTATGATCATAGTCATACCGGCCACCGAGGACAACGAATTCAATGCAGCCAAGTGCCAAAAATCGACTTTTTTTGGCATAACTTGTGTGAGCATGATTTCCCCCGGGGTATTGATATGTTTCCATAGTAAATCAAACGTGCTGAGTTCAATGGTCATAATAAGAAAAAAAGTTAACTTGGGATTTTTGAGATATTGAAAAATTTTTCGGTTTTTTCAAAAAATCAATAATCCAATCAATGGGAAAAAAATTTAAAAATTTTTTTCCAAAAGAACAATAAATTGTCTATTCATTGTTTTTTAAATCTAAACAAACGAACAATAACAGACAAAGTTTTGATTTTTTGAAAATATAGCCATTTTTTGGTACGTTTTGGGCCATAACTCCCCAAAAAAAATTTTTTTTTATCAACTATTCCTTTCGGTTTCTAAAATAACTTTTTACGCTCTTTCCAATCATTTAGGTCTCAATTTTTTTCAAGGGTAACACTTGGGAGTCATTCCATGTGAGTTCAGAGTAGTGACTTAAACAAACAGTTTTTTTTTCATTTGGATGAACTTGTATTGAAAAGTTGTCAACAACAAAATTGAAGATTTAGTTTTGTTTAGTCTACTCTGAAACTTTCTAAAAAACTCGAAAATTCGGGAGTATTTTTTTCAGGTCTTCAAAGTTGTCTGCCATATATTCTCTCATAGAGACCTACCGAAACTGTCAGCTTCTATCTCAATTATCTCGGTTCCTATGAGAGATATCAAAATTTTGTCAATTGATAAAATGTTGGCTATGTAATGATAAATAATTTATCAGTTGACAATGTTTGGATATCTCTTACAGGAATCGATATAATTGACTTCAAAGGGCACGTATAGGGTGGGCTTCTATTAGAGCAAATACGGTATCTCATTTGGATGTCTTGGTACTTACGATTTAGAATTTCTATGTTACTGTGAAATTGTTTTCAGAAATTTCCTACCTCCTACTATATCTGCCATTCTTATAATCCATCACAGCATCATGAACCACTTGCATATTTTCACAATTCATATGAATCGTCGTCTGATGATGTGGCATTGGCTCAGACCCTAAATTCGGTTTCGCCAAGAAATTCGGAAGTTCCTTAACAGCCACATTGATCTTGGTAACCGGAGAAGTGTAGTCAATTTGGCTAACACTTCTATAGAAATCTGCTGGAAGGTGCTCTTTCTTCACAAGATTATTGAATGTAACATGTGGAGTTGCATTGGACATGACGATCTTCGAATGGATTTCTCTTCCATTTGCCAGTCGAACTCCTTTGGCTACATTTCCATCTAGAAGGACTTCATCCACTTCCTGTTCGGTGAAGATTTCAACTCCGTGACTTTTGGCACATTCTGCGATTGCATTGGATACAGCTCCCATTCCTCCAACAACGTATCCCCACGCCCCTTTGTGCTCGTCTAGGCCTCCAATAACGTGATGAAGGAGAACGTATCTGGAAATCTTTTTTTTTTGAATGCTCTTTCCCTTTCAAGTTACCCAGTTCCTGGATCCATTGGACTTGCAGCCAATCCAATGACTCCATCAGTACCTAGTGTCGCCTTCAAAACATCACTCTCGAACCACTTATTCATTATTTTGGAGATCGGTGCTGTCATCAATTCATAAAAATCTACGGCATTTTTCAGTCCCAATGGTTGAACTGCCTTATATAGCAAGTACAAATGTGGCAACATTTTATGAATTGGCTTTTGTAAATCCAATGGTTCGTAATCCATCAACTGCTCAAAAGCATGGGTGACTTCCGAAATGAAGTGCTCATATTTCGGATAATTTTCAGCGTCTGCTTTTGAGAATTTCGCAATTTCTCGTTGATTTTCAGCCATATCCATTCCAAGTGTCAAACTTCCATGAGTATCACGAATCGGGGTGAATGAATTGGGATTTCTGATATGGTAGCGGAGTCCGAACTTTTTGAGATTGAGCTCTTGCATAACGACGGGTCGTAGGAGACTCAGAAGGTAGGAAGCTCGAGAGAATCGGAATCCAGGAACGATTTCTTCGGTGACAGCGGCTCCTCCGAGTACATGACGACGTTCCAAGACACATACTTTTTTGCCCGCTTTTGCGAGATAGGCGGCCTGTGAAATTGTTTCAGTATGTTTTTTGTTTTAGCAATCTTCTTAAAGATTGATTGTTAAATATTCACATTTTTTAAATTACCCTAAACACTCTAATAGAACGCCACCCGGACCGTCCACTTTGGGCTTATATATCTCACTTTTTTTGAAAGATATCGAAAAGTTGTCAACTGATAAAATGTTTATCATGATATCAGCGAAATTTTATTAAATAACCACTTTTTGATATCTCTCACAGAGAATGAGATACATAGGCTTAAATTTGTTGATTTGGATGGCGTTTTATTAGAGTGTGTACGGTAAGTCGTTTGATCTCTATTTTCTCATATGCTAACATAAAATAAATAAGATTGAAAAAAAAAACATTTTAATATTTTTCAAAAATTTGATAGAGTTGATTTTTCTCAAAATTCGAACACAATTTAATATTTCCAGATTGAGAAAAATTTGAATATTTGAATATATAAAAATTCGAAACTTCATACCACATAGATCATATTTAATACTTACTTTTCAATTATAAATGCTCAAAATTTCTTGATTTTTTAAAATTCGTCAATTTTTTAGATAGTATTTTCCAATTCCTCGATTTTGCGAAATATGAAAAAAAAAGTTAAGTCTTGTAAAAACAAAGGAATATAAAACAAGTTCGATTTCGGGATTGAAAAATTTGTATTACTTGTTTCGAATTTTTTAGAACTTGTGATATTTTTCAATTTTCTAAAATTCTAGATTTTTAATTTTAAAATGCTACAAAATTGAATATCTGACTTTCTTAGTGTGCTCTGAAATTAGACTAATCAAAATATTCTGAATTTTTCTTAGGCCTTTTTTTCCATTGAAAAACTAAAATATCGTATTTGCTCTAATGGGAGTCCACCCCACGCGGCTACTTTGAGCTCAAATATTTCGCTTCTTTCAAGAGATATCAAAGATCTGTCCATTGATAAAATAAAGGTGATATTATGATAAATAATTTACTAGTTGACAAATTTTTGGTATCTCTCATAGGAACCGAGATAATTGAGCTCTAAGTCCATGTACAAGGCTTTTCCGATAATCTGAATAAGTTCCTTAAAAATGTAAACTGCAAAAGTGGTGTTATTTTTTTGTGTGGTACTTAAAAATTCAAAATCTCAACCTCCATATTTTTGTTGCAAAAAAAAAACTAACCGCCGTTAAACCATTGTGTCCTCCACCAATAATGATTGCATCGTAAGATTGTTTACTGAAATATCGCCGACCGATTCGAAAGGACATCTTGTTTGTTACACTCTGGTCTCACTGGCAAAAACGAAAACAAATTGAAATTGATCGGAAAGAAAAGAGAGGGTAGAAAAGACGAAGAAAAAGAAGTAGTAAAAAGAAATCAAAGAAAATTGCAAAGTTGCAAAGAAGAGGAGCAACCTTCGCCCCATTGATTAGTGTGTTCCGTGATTGTTATCATTGTGTAGCCAATACAATATTTTCTATCTATATTTGGGCGAAAATTGGGCAAAAAAATAGACACAGACAGATAAGATATTTAGCGAAGGTAGAATAGAGAGAGTCCGAGAAGAATGAGACTGCCGACAGCTGGAAAATTATGAGTTACTGTAGTTTGCAGACAAACTTTTGACACACCTAACGAGGAAATGAGAACAATCGAAAACCAATCGCCATCTTTCGTCTCGATTCTGAAAGATAATTTTGACCTCTGGTTCTTGATCAGAAAAAAAAGAGAGACGCAGAGAAGCCAGACTCTCTCACTTCTCTGCGTCTCTCTCCCTCCAACTCACTCTCTCTTTCTCTTCGTCTTCAACACCATATCAACGCGAATTTCGAGACGTGCTGATTGTTGCAAACTGATAACAGCGATGATCTTTGGGTTTTTAGATAGCTGCTCCTCGGTCAGACGTACTATTAGGTCTTCTCCGTTTGGGTGTTGGAACTGGAAATCAAAATGAAAAATAAAACTTGTATTAGAAGGGCCAGCCCTTCTAATACCGGTTTTACGGTAGATAAGGAACTTCGAAAGCTGGAAAATTAACTGGAAATTAAAACAGTTTTTTTGTTTTAAAAAATTACTTCAGCCAATTTATCAGATCCCAAGTTTTGGGTCTTAAAAATATCTAAACAGTAAAAATTCCAAATTTATCTCATTTCGTCTGCTAAGTTTGAGCTCAATTATCTCAATTCTCATGAAATATATCAAAAGGTAACCAACAAAAAATATTTATTATAATTTCCAAAATATTTTGTCAATTGATAACTTTTTGATATCTTTTACAGAAACATTAATAAAGTGGGTCAAAATTGTCCCACGCTTTACGGTATGTAGGCCCTATGAGTGTACTTTTGAGCTTAATTATCTCGGTTTCTATGAAAGATATCAAAAATTTGTCAACTGATAGAATGTTTATCATAATATCACCAATTTTTTATCAGTTGACAAAATATTGATACCTCTCATGGTAATCAAGATAATTGAGCTCAAATTTAACGGTTTGCATGCGCTCTTATTAGAGGGAATACGGTAGCCACATTTTCTTACCACTCTCTTCTTCTGATGTTCACAATCCCTCACATGATTCAGCTTTTCCACAACCTCCCCATCAATAGTGTAATTAACATTCACAATGTTTCCAGCTACAATTTTTCGATCAATTTGCAGTTTATACAATTTCTCGGGCATCAAGCTTAAAATATTGTAGGCGTCACGAAGCACAAAAATAGACGCATTCTCACAAACATCTCGTTCGTCAATTTTGGCGATTTCCTTCTCGGGAAGCATCTGAATGTTTGAATTTTAAAAAATTGCGTTCTCAGAATTTTAAAATGTACATCTGTGGAGTTATAAAGGCACTTTGCCAACACCCAACAATCCAATTTCTGAATGTGGTCTTTGCAGTTTTTTGTCTGGAAAACGGCCAAAGTTTCAGGTGCCACATTCAGCTTTTCGGTCAGTGAGATTCGAGAATTGTCGAGTTGCAAGTGGATTTCTAAGATTTTCAAGGCTTCCAATAGTTTGACATGGGGACCTTTGTTAAATAAAATTTCCAGATCATTGTTTCCAGTTGGTCCCTTCCGACGAACCATAAAGTCTCCACGACGATTTTGGTAGGATTTCACAGAGTTGCTGGAAAATATTCCAGAACTTTCTAAATTTACAGTAACCCAAACCCTCACCATTTATCGCCACTGGTCTCAAACTTTCTACAAACAGATTTCGGACAGCAACACGCCGAGCAACAACTCCAGCTACTCCATTTTATGAAAATTTCGACATTTGGAAAACTGGAGTCCACGGTGTTCTCAAGACCATCAGAGACCATATTGAACTCTCGGAATTTCATGTAATCTGATTTTTTTGTGAAATTTAAAATTATCGAATTCAAAGTTACCCAAACGATCACTATACTGATATTGGAAGGCGTAGGCGGATTCCAGGAATAAGGTGAGAATCAGAATACTGTACATTCTTTGTTAGAATTTTTGAATAGAGATTTTTAACTTTGGTGAATAGCGGAATAAAGATATTTGATTGAAACAGGTTGTCTGTTGGTTCCACGTATCACATATTCAAATGTGCTCCATCGGAAGGCTCTGCAAATCACGGCCGCGGCCGACCGCAATCGGCCGAAACTTTTTCTGCAAAAAACTGTGTGTCAACGAAGTTCTGTTTTAATACAGATTTTTCGGTAACAATAAGTGTGAATCCGCTCGAGATCAGCAAGTATTATAAATGTTTTTCATGCGTCTTTGAAATACCGTAATCCAAAAAGCTCTAATTCCGATTTTTTTGGAAATATTAAGATCGGAACCTTCGAAAGTCCGAACTCCGTTTCTAACATCCCTGGTGTGCTCTGTTGATAAGAAACTCACCCCAAGTTCGAGTTTTCCCCTTCAGTCCCTTGTTACCCAATTCTGAATCCGACCCAAAACCCGTAAAAGTTTTCTCTGATGGCTTCTGTGTGTTGTCGAAATTCCAGGAAGCATCCGGATGTGCGTGTATAGAGGTTATTTAGTATGAGCAGTGGATGCGAAGAAGCGGCTCCTTCTTCTTCTTCTTTCGGTAACAATTGTTACAAAGAGAGAGTGTTCGATTCGAAGAGTCAACGTGTCTACACCCTCTTCCTTTCACACACTCTCTCATCTGAATACTCTTTCTACGGTATTCCCTTGTGATAGCTCGTTAACAAGATGCCATACCACACACAAAAAGAGACATCAAGGATGTACCACCACACGACATTTCAACCCAAACGAGCCTTAACTCAACCCGCCTGACGGGCTTCCGGAGGCGGTTCCGGTGTGTGTATCTGTGTCTTCTGAATCAAGGAGAAGCATATACCGTAGTCTTCTTTTTGCGGGTTGAGAAGGAATGGGAATTGCAAATCAGACAAGCATTGTTCGATAGAGAACACGCGATTGAAGTTCCGTTGGGTAAGAAGTTGTCCGGTGTCATCAAACGTCCTGAATTAGTCACGGCATCTGGAGACTCGAGAATTTTGAGAGAAGAAAGAAAATGAGAATTTAAAAATCGGGTTACTGTACCTCAGAATCACCTATACCAGGAGGTGGCCGGGAAATAGTCGAAGGTTGTCCAGATTCCGGATAAGACCACGGCCCGCTACCATGGCCTGTATACAGCCGTTCTTGGGCATATTCCGACCAGCACCTGGCCAGCATCTGTCCAAAAGCCAAACCACTCGAGGTAACCGTTGTAGTATTAAACTTCCAGATAATTCCTTCCATCTTTAGAAATTTTACAGTAATCCTTAAATTATACAATAATCCGGTTGACCAAACTAATCAGAAGCAACACCTTTTTAGTCGTGACATCATTTTTTGAATTTTCAGATGCTCCGTTCTTCCTGCTTCATAGGTAGACAAGACAAGAATCAACTGAATTGATGAACTCAGTCATGGGATTATCTCGCACCGAAGCCCACCCTATATGATCGGCTTCGTGAGGGGCATTTTCTGAGTCTTTTATGTCTTGCCCTCTAATTTTTATAATACATGATCAATAAACACTTACAAGATATGTGCCCTTTGAGCTCAATTATCTTGGTTCCTTTGAAAATTATCAAAAATCAGTCAACTGATAAAATATAAGTGATATTATGAAGAATAACTTACCAGTTGGACTTTTTAAAAAATATCTTTTGAAGGAACAGAGATAATTGAGCTCAAAGTGTACGTACAGGGTGGTCTTCTATTAGAGCAAATATGTACGGTAACCGAGTTTCGTACTGGTAATACTCGAAAAGACCTTATACTGTAACAATAAGAGCTAAATCTTCATTACACTACAAGGAAATAGGTTCGTATCAATCGAAGCTTCGAGAGCTTCATCGCCCTGCTACCAAAACTTTCAATGACCCCTCCATTCGATTTTCCCTTTATTATTTGTGAGTCAGGTTGTATAGTTTTTTGTTCAAAAGATTCCTTTCCCTCCCTATCTTCCGAAAAGAAAAAGCGGTCCCTTGATGAAATATGGTGAAGATGGATGGTGTAGGTTGTCGCTCAAAACGTGTTGCCATTTCGGAAGGTTTCCCCGTGAGGCTTTTCCGAAAAGAAGACACCGTCTTTTGACAAGTGTCGGGGCATGCGCCTCCTTCTTCGGGAGGAATTGTTTTGCCTGGAGAAGTGTTTGATTGGCAGGACGGGGGCTCCTGGTATGAGAGAAGACCGTTGGACTCTGGGGAATCTGTGGGAGAGAAGAGGATTTATCAATCACTTTAGAGGAAAGAAGTGGAGACTTGTGAAAAGAGTTAAGAAGAGTGTGGTTGGAGTTGGTTAGCAAGTGGATGAGATGTTGCAAGATATATGAACTTTTAGAACATAAATCTGTTTGAGGAGTTTGGGAAGAAATATGAAGACAGCGAGATGAATTTTAGGCAGTAAGTATACCATATTTAGAAGCCCACCCTTGACGTGCACTTTGAGCTCAATTAACTCGGTCCCTACAAGAGATATCAAACATAGATAAACTGATACATGATTTATCATAATATCACCAATACTTTATCAGTTGACAAAATGTTGATATCTCTCATAGGAATCAGGATAATTGAGCTCAAAGCTTACGTGTAGCGTGGGCTTCTGTTAGAGCAACAAAGATAGTTTTAAGCTAAAGAAGATTTCCAAATTGTCAAGTTCCCGCCATTACTGAACATTTTCAGAATCGCTTGAATAATGGGCGTTAGACCATCTTTAGACCATTTTTTGACCATTTTTTGACCATTTTTGATCATTTATAGGTAACCTGTTTTGACCATTTTTTGGTAGACCATCAGTAGAAAATAGTCAACTTTGGAGCACTGAAAAAGTGTTCCAGAACTTTTTATTGCTCTGAAAAATACAGATTGTACTTTTTCGCCATATTCTTTTCTGATGAACTAATCGGAAATGAAAAGCGCCAAAATAAGAACTGAAATAACAGCTTGCAACTTCAAACCCGTTTAACGAAGGGCACTTCTATGGAAGGATCCCTAATTTTCAACTTTGAGTCTTATTTTTCTCGGTTCCTGTCTATGAAAAAAAAATTGTCAACTGATAAATTGTTTATCATAATATTAGAAATGATTTGTGAATTGACACATTTTCGATATATTGTATAGGAATTGATATAATTGAGCTCACTTTTGACAGTGGAGTCTTTCTAGGTTTTGCGTTATCAAAATTTGCACCGAAAACATTTTTGGTGGCTTCTGGTTACTGTATTCTTACAATTTTCGTGAAATTCTAAAAATACAGTATCCCTAACCGATCTTCTCCCCTCCATTCATTTCCAAACCCCGTCGATCCCCTGTAGCGCTATATCCGCAGCTTCTCACCCAAGACGGCGGTGTCATCAAAGGACGTACTCATTCATAAGCGTATGATGATCTTGTCGGCGGTAGGAGTCCCCGGGGATGTTCTTCTGGGATACTTCTAGAGAAAAATTGGGAAACGATCATCCATGATTCGCGATTTATAGCCCCCACTTTTAGTGGTGGTGGTGTCTTTTATTTAAAACGCTTGGCTCTCCTGTTTCTTTTCCGACACCTTGGGGAGCAATTCCAACCCAAGAAAGAAAAGAAAAGAAGTGTGGTGGCGCACCGGCACACCACATTTGTTCCAATTTATGGCTCTATTTTGACAGCTTTCTACTTTTTTCTTGTCTTCTTCTTCTTATTGGTCCCTTTCGAAAGAAAGAAACAAGAAATAGAAGAAGCCGTATCTTATGTTTGAAACACTAATCGGGTAATCCGACCAATCAATGTAACAGATGTAAGAGGGTCGTCGTACAGGTCAGAAGACACTTAACACAAGCCCCCAAACACAGACGATATAAACAGTGACAGAATGTGTTGAGAGGGGGTTAGAGGAGGATCGGGTTTCATATATACAGGTACAGCTGTTGTATAAAAAACGGTCCAACAAAGTCGAATATTTAGCCAATGTATAAACTATGCGTTATACTGTATAAACAATGCCAAGGTGTGACAAAAAAAATGGAATTTGCCGTAAATGCTCTAATAGAAGGTACCCGGAAAATTTTCTTTGAGCTCAATTATCTCGGTTGCCATGAAAGATATCAAAAATTAGTAATTTGAAAAAATATTGGTGATATTATGATGAGCATTTCATCTGTTGACCACTTTTTGGAATCTTTTATAAGAATCGAGATAATCGAGCTCCAAATGCAAGCCTTGTGAACTTTAGTATGGACCAAAGCTGCGGATGTAACACGGGCCATGGTTACGTTTCTCGGGACCAAACTGTCCTTTTTTTCAAAAATGAGATCGGTCACTCAGTAACTTATAAGGTAGCTAGGCCGCCAAGTCCTACCTATCATTGAAGTACCCTAACCGAAAACCCGCGGCCCTGTTTTTGATAGCCTTGGACTCGGCCACATGGCGCATGGCTTTTTGGGGGTACTGTTGTTTGACAAAGTCTGAAATGGAAGACTAAGGTTCGGCGGAAGAAAAAAGAAAAAAAGGACTACTGTAGAAAAGTTTGAACTGTCGAAAGGGGTTTTTACAGAGAAAAACTTTTAATAGAGGCTCCGGGACATTTCGCAAGCGGACATTTCGAAAGTGTGGTTATACAGGCGAATGGATGAATTTCAGACTACGAAAACTATTTTAGGGTTTTCGAGTGTGCTTTTTCTGGCAGAACACATTTTGAAAGTCGAAAAAATCCAAAATTTAATTTTTCAAAAAATGTGTTCATTTATTTTTTCGGCTTTCAGAATTTGTTCTATCAGAAAAAGCATATTTGAAAACCCTAAAATAGTTTTCGTAGTCTGAAATTCATCCATTCGCCCGTATAACCACACTTTCGAAATGTCCGCTTGCGAAATGTCCCGGAGCCTTAATAGAACGGCCCCTAACTTACACTTTGAACCAGTTGATCTCGGTTCTTGTCAAAGATACGAAAAAGTAGTCAGGTGATACATTTTTAATCAAAAAAACACAAACATGTTATCATTTGACACATTTTTGATATCTTGTACAGAACCCCAGGAAAACTAGCTCAAACTGGACAATGTGGTACGGCAGCGCAACCTTCAAGCTGCTAATCCCCCAACTTTGCGACTTTTTGACCTTTCTTTGTTGCCTTCAAAGTGAAGTACCAATAACACATTCGTATGCATTCTAAATATGCAAATTTGAACATGTTCGGATACATCTGTCCCCCGCTTACTCTTCTTCTTCTTCTCCTGATATTGTTGTTGCGTGTACAAGAAGAAGAGCTAAGAAAGGATGTGCCTTTTGTCTGTGATAGATTGATGCATATCGGTAAATGCATTAATAAATTATTAAAGATCGATGGTACCATTTGAATTCGAATGGATTTGTTTCAGATGATGTGGCTTCTTCTTTCCAGAAAAAAAAGCCTCGAGGGTAAAAAGCCATGGATACATTTATGGCTTTTCTTCACCTAGCAACACCGCGGATTTCCATGGACCCGGCGTCTCGGTCGGCTCGCCATGCCTAACTTTTTTCATTCACAATTTCTTCTCGAGTTCTAAAAACTAAACAAATAACGGAAAAATGTCTATGGGCGATGCAGACACCGTTGTTTGCATCATCAATAGTACGCTTCCGAAATACCAGGTAGATCAAAAAAGTTATCAATAGAGCGCATAATCAATTTTCAGCCAAACATCTTTCTGTGCAACTCGGGATCCTCGTGTTGCACTCGACGTGGCATTATCGCATGCTGCCAGAACGATGTGTCGTTCAGTCAGGTGTAAGTTGGGATTCAGATTCACTAACCCAAGGCTGGGCCACGGTCGGCCCTAGGAGTTTCTGATTGGCAGGACTTATTTCCGAAAGTACGGACGGTTTGGTCCACGGGGAACTACTCACAACCCGGGCTGCGGCCGGTCGCAGCCCTGTTTCAGACAGCCTTGTCCCAGCCTAGAACCCTTTCCACTTGAAATTCCAAAACGTGAGAACCGAATTGTGCAATTCTGCTCATCTTGAGCATATTGCTGCTAATCCACTTATAGGTCTCAGATTGCAATTAGATTCTTCTTCTTTTAACCTTTTCCACTTCCCTCTTCTTCCCTTTCATATCGTATTTCCGTTTTCTAAGGACCTCATCCACATCTGTACAATTGTTTATCATTAGGTAACACACAAAGACATGGACAGATTGTCCCAAATCGTAGCTAATAATACATCTTTCTAGGCTGAAGCAGTCGCTTCCATTCCTGATTTTGTGGCTCATCATCTTTGGAATCGCCTACTTGGCTCACTTGTTCTTCGAGGACGATGAGACTGGAAAGCCAATCAATAAGGAGAAGCCATTGGATGGAAAGTTGGAGTAAGGAGGGGCACTGTCTAGTTTAAGCTCAATTATCTCGGCTCCTATGAGAGGTATCAGAAAGTGGTAAACTGACAAAGAACTTATGATATTATGATAAACAATTTATCAGTTGAAAATATTTTGACTTCTCCTGAAGGAACCAAGATAATTGAGCTCGAAGTGAACGTATAGAGCGGGCTTCTATTAGTGCAAATACGGTAGGTATGCAAAAAAGTTTTAGGCCCTTCTATTACAGGTTTTAAAATAATTTCAGTGGTAAAAAAGGTGTACGATCATGGATCTATGAATTGGGGAAGTTTTAGATTCTAAGACTCCATGCCAATTTTTTCTAATGAGTCACAAAACCTCCTTACCCAAAGTTAACAAGCTTCAATTTGCAGGCTTCTCCTCCCAATCGAGAACGACTACACAGTCGAGGACCCGGTCTTCGGAAAGCTCTACGAGGACCAAGTTCCAAAACTGGCAACGATTCCACGCAAGAGACGCTAGACGCCATTTTTTGGGAAACGATGGGACCCTCAGTTTCTTCTTCTTTTCTTCATTTTACCCCAAGTCCCTTCTTCCTTCTAATGTTCAGTCACGCATAAAAATGTTGATTTTTGTCTCTGTGTTGTTTGCCGACTGCGGATACTTAGAAACAGTAATCCGTTTTGCACCTGTCTTCCCGCAAAAGGATACGCGCATCCCACAATATTACATTTCGGCAGATGGGTGGTTTTAAGAAAGAGCACCACTCAGTATGGCGGTGGGGGTGATGAGATTAGCACATGATTAAAGGAAGAAGCTACCGCACCACAAAAAGAAATTTGACCCTGCCAAGAGACACTTCTTGAGTACTTTCTCCCGTGTCAATCCATCTCCTGATCATCCTTTGTCTTCTTCTCCCCGGTAAAATATGCACGAAGGAAAAGAAAGATCCTTAAAATATTCATGGAATTGTCTTATCCTTTGACCGGTACACCTTTGAACCTGACAGTCAATCCGGCAGATGCCCCTCGCGCTCATTTTTATGCAGTCTGTCTTCCTCATTTCTTCGTTTTCGTCTCATTTACGCAACATAGACACCTGTGAGATTAAGGAAGCGCATCGCCAAGGCCATTCTTTTCGCCCGAAAAGTCAAGAGCTTCGGGATTACGCAGGGTTTCTAAAAGGAGTGCCGGTGATGACAGATGTGCAAAGTAGATGGAAAAGTACTTGATTGTGAAACATGACAAAAAGGTTCAAGGTTCCTGAAAGTACCGTGAACACTGGCGGGCAGATGATTAACACCTGTTTCGACAAAAGTACTCTTTTTGGAATGAATAGTGATGAGTAGTGGAGAAAAAGTGAAAATGTGTGGAAAATGGAAATGTTAGACACCTGTCGAAACTCTTGAGTACACAAAGGTTTTCGATTTAATAAAGCGCATTTTCTCAATAGTCTTTTTTCGGGTTGGCTCTGAGACCTAGTCTGTGGGCCAGGCCGTTTTTTAGAAAAGCCTGGAGCGATCCAGATATTTTTGTATGAATTTGAAATTAACGAATTTTCAATTTCCGATTAGAAATCTGTTAACACTAATTTTGAAGTTCCTTATGCTTGAATCTTGAAATACGTAACATTTTTGAAATTGAACTGAAATCCACCGAGATACGGTAATTTAAAGGAGCATGGACCTTCAAAAATTCGAAAATTTAGAAAAATATTGTCGAATTAAAAAAAGTGGGACCTGGAAAATTTCGCGGGCGGTTCCCGGTCAATTTTCGAGGCCTTGCCCCAGAAACACTACGGTAGTAAACGAAACTTATTTCTTTGAATTTAGTGGGATTTTCTGAACAAAATTTAGATTTCTTGGTAGGAAAATGATCGCTAGCATCTTTTGAATCTGTTTTTCATCAAAAAAACAAACTTAATTGCGAAAGTAGCTCGAACGAGGCGAAAAACTGAAATATTGCGTTTTTGACGCACTTTTTCGTAGATCAAAAAAAAAAGCTACGCCTTTCAAATTTTCAGGTCCCACTTTTTTTAAGTCGACAATAGGTCATGATTATACTCATTTTGAAGCTCCTTATGCTCGATATTCAAAAAACATAAAACTCTTGAATTTGACCTAAATTGACCGAGATGCGGTAGTTTCCTTCAGAGTTTTAAAACAAGACGAAATACCTAATTTGAAAGTTTTTGAAGTTCGATTTCCATGGCGCATGGACCTTCGTAAACTCTCTCAAATCGAAAAGTTTTTCAAATTTCTAAAAATCAAAAAATAAAGAATTTCAAATTTACGAATTTTGCCAAAAGACTGAATTATTTTGAGACACTAAACTTTTCTAATGCTTGATTTCATTCGATTTTTTCAAAAATTCACATAATAGATTTTCAAGACTACCGTAATCCTGGTAATAGAAATTATATTTTAGAAGCCTGATCTATACGTTCACTTCGAGCCAATTTATCTTTGTTCCCATAAGAGATAGAAAAAACTTATCAACTAATACAATATTGGTGATATGATAAAACATTTATTTGTTGACAAATTTCTGACATAGTTTACAGTAACCGAGATAAGTTGGCTCAAAGTTGAGATTTGAGAGTGATTATAGTGTTTACGATATTTCAAACGAATCTGAATGATTTATGAATCCAAAAAACAGTTTTTTTTCCAGAAGAGCCTGTTTATGAAAGTCTGTAAATTTTCCACGTAATTCATATTTTCTTCTGTGTCCCTTACCCGATTTCCAGTTTCCCGAAATTTCAAAATCCCTCCAATTCTCCCACGACCTCCCTACTCTCCCGAAAGCCAACCAATTTATTTGGCTATTCTCTAAATTGAACATTTTCCGAGATCCCCACTGATGGTCGGCCGACGACGACAAAGATGCGCGCAATAAAGGTGTTTAGAGGCGATAAACTAGTGGTCCTGGCATCTGGCGCCCGAGAGGAATAAGAGAGCACACCGTCTCTTTTGTCGTGTCAAACCAGATGTTGCGAAGAAGAAGAAGAAGAAGAGATGTTGCGAAAAACGCTCCGGTGAGTGTGTGCCAGAAGGTCATACACACCGGGCGTATAATACCTCAAAACACATTTTGAAACCACACCGGCACGATGTCCCAGTTTCCATTGATCTTCATCAGAAGGTTCTGGGAAAAGCAGATGCCTATAGAGACATCATGAACAGTGGGTCATATTGATATAGGGTTCTAAGATTTTAATGGAAGATTTAATGGAACCAAAATAATTGCACAAATAAGCTGAAATGGACTACCTTTAAATGTAATAAAGGGTAATAGAAGGGCCCTCTGAAACTTAAATTTTTTTATCTCGATCCCTGTAACAGATATCAAAAGGTGACCAACTGATAAAATGTTGCTGATATCCTGATAAACATTTTGTCAGTTGACCACTTTTTGATGTCTTTCACAAGACCCGAGATATATAGTCTCAAGTNTTGCTGTTTCGCAGCCATCCANTTAGAGTGTTTACAGTAATATGAAAGTGCTAGTTTTGATTTTTTTTTTTACTTCTTTCCATACGTTCCAATACTTTTCGTAAAATTACGGGCCGGTCCGCAAGTCATTAAGATCTAGTTTTTGCCGCTTTATACTCCTTAACCAAAATATCAACCCCTAGGTAGTATCTACCGTAGGCCTCCCCATACCTGGCTCACCTCCTCCCCTTCTGAGTATCAGGTTTATCAGGTAGTATTGCGCAATTCAACAATCGACACCTTACCAATCATATAAACGTCATATTCAGTTATGAAACACAGAGTGAAGCGGGTTATTGGATTTCTCAGGTTATACGGTAGGGTCCGAATTGTGCAATTGAACAGACGGACATGGATCAGATGGATATGGTGGGAGAGAGGATTGTTGTATAAACTGTTTATGTTAGTGAGAGCGTGTGTGGGTGTTTTGGGACCAGGTTGTGTATTGGACCTAATGGATTTTCTAGAAAGTGCTTTCGGGTCCTGAAGACCATCTGGGACGAGTCGAGCCAAACGAGTACTTTGAGCTTAATTATCTCGGTACCTTCAAGAGATATCAGAAAATGTTCAACTAATAGATTATTTATCATAATATCACTAACATTTTTTTAACTGGACACTTTTTGATATCTCTCATAGGGGCCGAGAAAATTGAGCTCAAAGTGAACGTATAGAGTGGGCTTCAATTATAGCAAATACGCTCACACTGTCAAGTTTAAGCTCAGTTATCTCGGTTTCTTTAAGAGATATCAAAAACTTGTCAAGTTATAAAATATTGGTGATTTTAAAACAAAAATTTTATCAGTTTACAGCTTTTTGATATATTTTATAGAAAAGGAGATATATGGGCTCAAAGTTGGGTGGTCCTCTATCAGAGTGTTTATGGTAACTGACGTCGAGATTTTTGAAGTTCGAAAATCCGCAATTTTTCCCTATTTCTCACTCCTCAAAACATCACCCACACCACCAGAAAATCCTAACGTAATACAATTGACAATATCCCTCTACTACGAAGTTGTACACATATAAATTTGATCTTCACCAATTTGCACCTTCCTCCCTCCCTGCTCCAGTCCCACGGGAGTGTCTAACGAGGAAAGGTCGTGTGTGGAATCGAAAATCTGATATGGATGGGGATGACGAAGAAGAAGCATCATCATTAAGGAGCCACCACAGGGGCGGCTCCATGTGACGCTTAATTTTGTGATGGTGGTGGTCCATCCCATCCACCAGGGGTCCCACAGAAATCAGAGGAAAGATGAGGCAATTTGTTCATCACGCCACATTATGTACGTCTGTCTCCCAATTCTGGTAGTAGTGAAGATAGGATAATATAGATAGCAGCGATTCGTGGGGGCTCGTTAATTGTTCCCCCTTCTTCGCTTCTTCTCTTCGGCTCATCAAGCCTTCTCAATGGGGCCCTCCTAAACGATCCTTCTGGGCTCCGTGGCTCCTGCTCTGAGGAATCAGAGAGGAAGAAGACGAATCTCGGAATAAAAATTAGCATCACAATTGGCGGGACAGAATGTTGCCTTTGGATCAAAGGCTACGTGTTAGGCGGGGGGACACCTCTTCAGGCCCCCGTTTTGCCAGATGACTTTATGTCCAGCTGGCTGGATCATTGTTTGATTGATTTGTAGTTCGAGAGGAGGAGAAGGCAACGGGGGAAGATTTTGAAGATAAGCTTGAGAGATGGACCACCGGCTGTCAGGGCTTCTTTATTTTCTTGTTTTGCCACCACCAAGGTGCCTACTGTAGGCGCCTACCCTAGATCAAAATGCTAATTGGTGTGTGAAAAATGGATTCGTCGCGCAAATTGAATTATGACCACCGACTGTCACAGTCCTTGTATTCCGACCAATTCAAAAAATATGTACAAAGAGAAAACGCGCTCTATCTAAGCTGTTCGAGGCCACGCCCCTTTTTATCACAAACAACAAAAATCTAGAACGTTTCAGTGACTCATTTTAGTTTTTTTCTCTTATTGTCAGGCGGCTTGCTGGTCATCATCATCGCCTCTCATAATACT